TTGATCATGATGCATTATTATATTCACATATTGCTGTATTCAGTTTGCTAATATTTTGATAAGGATAATTACGTCTATGTCAATGATAGACATTGCTCTCATAATTTTCTTTCTTGTAATTTCCTTTTTAGGCTTTTATATCAGGGTTTTGTTTGCCTCATAAACTGTATTGGAAAGTAATCCCTTATACTTTATTTTCTGAAAATGTTCAATGTAACATTTGTTTTATTAAGTATTTGATAGAATTCTGCAAGAAAGAAATCTGGATATGATGGGTTTGGTGGTTTTTATTTCACATTCAATTTTTAATGAATATAGAGCTATTCATATCTTCTATTTTATAATTTTTCCATTTCCTTTAAATATAACTGTCAAAATAATATACCAATATAGACATAAAATTGTTCATAATATCCCCTTTATTATCTTTTCATATCTGTAGGACTTTTACCTCTTTTATTTCTGCTATTGGTTATTTGTGTGTGCTGTGTTCCTTTCTGTTGTGCTGGTGCAGGAGGGAGGTGTATTCATTTAATTCATTTTTAGAACCAAATTGTAGCTTTTTACATTTTTTTCAACTGCTTGTATTTTTCTTGATTTTTGCTTTTATCTTTTTAAAATTCTTTCCTCTTTAATTTTCTCTTCTATTTCTAGCTTCTTAAGATGGAAACTTAGATCATTGGTCTAGAAACAATGAAGAGTGACAAAGTGGATCTTAAACAGGAAAATTATTGCAATACTTTGTGTTAGGTCATTGTGTGATTTCTAAGCAAAAATTGTTCTCTTCTGGCATGGGAAAGATGGTACTTCTGCAAGCCTGAAAAGTTGAAGAAAAAAATAGAAGGCCCAATAGTTTTAGGTTCATGCACTCAAGTGTCTCATTTCTAGCTCTTAGAGTCCCATACTTTCTCTATTATAGAATTTACTTTGACATAGATAACCTATTAAGACTTCACATTCAGTTGTCTTTGTATTTGTTACCCTTAAAATCATATCCTAGAATTTTAGAACCCTGGGAACAAAGAAATTATAGAATTTCCAGTATGAAATGACAAGTTCCATCTGATGACGCATCAAGAATTAGAAAATGAGAGCTGGGCATGGTGGTGCGCACCCTAGTCCCAGCAACTTGGGAGACTGAGGCAGGAGAATCGCTTGAACGCAGGAGTTTAAGATTACAATGAACTCTGACCAGGACACCGCACTCCAGCCTGGGTGACAAAGAAAGATCCTGTCTCTAAAAAGAACAGATATAGAAGAAATTTTAAAAATCAGAAATTAGAAAATCATCATCATGGGCAACATTGTATTTTTAAAAAATTGGAAAATCAGTTATCTACAGCAACATGAAAGAGAGGCAATAGCAGTACCTGCCTCCTATGGTATGAGATGATTAAATGTTATTTCTATAAAGTACTTGGAAAATATAGACTGGTATTCAAATTAAGTCTAATCATATTGTGAACTTGTTTGTATCTGAGGTTGGGATATTGAGGAATTAGATGGCTCTCAAACCTGTACTTAAAGCTAGGAGATGTCCCTTAAGGTTCCTAGAGTTGGTGAATGATGACTGAGCTGATGAAGAATGATTAAACGAGGTACCTGGTCTAGGTCTGAGGAGGTTGTGTTGGCAGAGAACCAGGCACGGTGACTGTATCAGATGTTTGAAGTCCAGAGTACCTCTCATATTAATAAGTTATACATTATTACATTTTGTTGCATTTCTTGATGTTCTAGATATTTTGTCCCATTTAATCATCACACCTTTATGGGGCAAGGGCTGTTATCTCCATTTTAGAGATGGGGGAACTGAGCATAGAAATGAATTGCTCAAAGTTAGAGAAGTAGTTGGAAGCAGAGCTGGAATTTGAAAACTAAGCTACATTTCAGATGCCTGAAAACTACAGATATCTGCTTAGCATAGTTTTTAAAACAAAAGCAAAACAAAAAATTGCAGCATTTCTTAACACCATATTAAGAGCAAGACAACTCCCTAAAAAAGTCACCACAGAGTGGTAAAATCCAGGAATAAAATCAACATTTTCCATTCTGTCCTTTTTCCCTTTCATGCTCCTTCCTATGTCAAACATGTAGTTAACCTATTTCTCTATCTTCCTCAAAGTGTTCTTATACTGGTTCATGGGAAGAGGTCAAAGGATTTCAGAAGGGCATTTCCCAAAGGCCATTTTTCCTTATATTCTAATCCACAAAGAAGCATTACGACATAAATTTTGCATTCATCATGACTTCACATCACTCTAATTTACAGCAATTGCTCACCAGATCAACCACTGTAGGCTTCCTGTTCCCTTCCTTGTATAGGTTAAAACAACTCTTTTCCTTACAGAGGGCTATTAGGAAATCATTTGCTCCATGGCCAATCCATGAACAACGTATATTAATCTCCTTGGAAAGGCTTGGCTTTGAAGAACTTGGGATATGCTCTTGGTTTCCGTAAGCCTTCTCCTCTTGTGTGGGATCATCCCCACCCAATTCCTTGGTTGCTAGTAGCCAGGCCCATCATAAGGGTGTGTATAAATTTCTTACTTGATCTAAAAATGTACAGGTGAGTCAATCACTCCTTCCCCAGTCACCAAGAGCCCCATTCAGCTTGAGAGTATCACAGACTCGGTATATTGTTCAATTAACCTGGGACATGCCTTGGTAACTGGCATTATATACACAGATATCATTTAGACAAGGCTTAGATCACCCCTTTGGAACATAAAGTCCTTGAGAGGTTTAGTTATGAATTAATAAACCCAGGGTTTCTATGAAGCAGTGCAACCTTGAACAAAATTTTTGCATTTGCAACAAACCAATGCTTGGCTTTCCCCTCCCAAAGTCAATATACAAATTATATGATATTAATGATAAATGTTTCCATCTATTGAGCTCATTTAAATTATACAATCAGTTGCATTTACCATTTGTCAGGAATTTTCTATTCATTATTCATTCACTCATTTAACACATACAGGGCTTACAATATCCTGGGCCATGTTAAGCACTACTGTTAGACGAGTCAGGAAAAACCAATGCCTTCATGGTGCTTGCAATGTATAGGGGAGACAGGCATTAATCAAATCATACAAATACACAAAATGGGTTCTCTGCTTCTGGATTTAGTGCTTTATGTATACTATGTAGTTAAATCCTCTCAGCATCTCTGTGAGGTAGGTACCCCACTTTATAATGATGAGAAAATGGAGATTTGGAGAGGTGAAATAACTAGCTTAAAGTTATATAACTATTACAAACCAGAGCTGAGTGATTTTACTTAGTTTTTCTGCATGGGTGGATGACATTCTGGTTGGCATAAAGATTAAGAGCAGGAGCTTTAGATTCATGATGGCTGCACACTGAAAATATGATGTTGTAGAGGCATAGAGCCCCAGATCCCTCCCAGCACTTGACAGCAGTGCAGCCATGAAATGGCCAGGTACAAAGATGGCCGTGCTATGGTGATAGAGATAAAAGGTGGAAGAAGTCTCTAAGCCCAGAGCACTGGTGATAAGATAAACATGACAAAGACAAGGAATCCCTGCATCTTGGCTTAAATCAGATTCTAATAGACAAGCTTTATTCTGTTAACCCTCTGAATAGAAATTTTGCAGCCTCAAGGCTCTGTATACAATGTTTTGTTTTATCTGCCAAGGATGCTTGTGGTCCTGAATACCATCATGCCAGCCTAGGGTTTCTGATAGATTGGGACCCTCCACAAGATGGACACTCTGTACCCATGATCAGAACCTCCTTGTTATTGGGGTGGTATGTGAAGCGCACAGAAGGGCCTGAATAACATGGTTGCTTGTTGGGCCCAAGGCATGTGCCCCTGATAGGGAACCCTGCCGTGTACCACAATCTATCTTTTCAAATGACTCCCTTTTCCAAAGTGTGTCAAACTGATTTACTGAACCTTTTAGTTGGCTACCACTAGACATAATATTCCAAAATGGTAACTCAAAACTCATGATTGTTATTCTTTCTTTCTTGAGCTCTATGGGCAGGATCTATGATCTTCAGACACAGTGTGGGCAATGGCTTTCTGGTCACTGATAGTCACAGGGTTCCGAGTTCCTTGGAATCCATGATACAATGGTAATATAAATACAATCCAGCAGGGAAAACAGCCTTCCCAACCAGAACTGCTTATACAGGATTCAGATCCCCACCCTGCCTTCCTGCCTTGAGTTCCTCATTCTCTCTTATCCTGATTCATGAAAATTACACATAAATGATGGCAACTGTTAAATTCCCAATGGCCTGGATGACCATAGATACAAAGCATTTTCTACTAGCTCTATCGTGGCTGCTTCTATTAGATTTGATTGTCTTCCTCCAGAAATATCCCTATTTCAATTCTTCACAAATGTACGGGTATTTTAGGACTGAGCAGGCCAAGGGCAATGATAGTGAATGAGGGAGATAGCCTTCAGTTCCTGGAGTTTGGAAGTAGCTTTGGAAAAAGCTCCACAATAAATTTAGCCCCTCTCTGGGCTGCACCTTTAGAAACAGCCTTCTTACCATGTGTTATAGGGAGAATCAGACCTGTCCCCAAGGTCTGTGACACTTGTTTTCCCTTTATTCCATTCCGCTTTATCAACTGTTATCACCATAGACTTCAGACATTTTGATCTCTCGGTCCTCCCCCTTCCTGAGGATTGGCTGTCAGAGCTCTTTTGCTCCTTCATCTTCTCTACTCATTTATTCAACAATATGAGCACCTACTACAAGATAATGTTCCTAGAGTTAGGGATACATCAGTGAACAATGTCATAGTATAAATGAGTCCAAGATAGTTTAACTCTAATAAAACAATGAGAGGATTATCAAGGTGATAATTCAATGGATTTTAAAATGTTCATCTCTTAAAAACTATAACAGTATGAGATGAATTGTTCAGAAACCTCAAAAGTTAACTCTCCACCACTCCTCCCCCCCCCCCAAGGCCCAGGGTGACCCACTGGAGTCATGTGCCACTGGGTCCTTCTGCTGTTCTAGGAAACATCAACCCTCTTTGGCTGGAAGCGCTTTAGTAGGCCCTGACGGATCTGCTTAGACTTGATACAGTACACAATGGGGTTCATGAAGGGAGGGACCAGGAAGTGCAGGTTGGCCATGAGCACTGCCAGAGCAGGGTAGCTGTGCTTCTCTACTCGGTGCAGCACAGACAGCCCCAGCTTGGGCAAATAAAAGATGAGAACAATGCAGAGGTGTGAGACACATGTGTTGAGTGCCTTGAGCTGTTCCCCGGGTGAAGCAATGCGCAGCACAGTCCGCAGGATCAGGGTGTACGAGAGCATGATGAGGGAGGAGTCAAGGCACAGTGAGAGGAGGATGGAGACCAAGCCAACCAAGCTGTTGATCCGGGTGTCTGAGCAGGCCAGCCCCACAAGGTCACAGTGCAGGCAGTAGCAGTGAGAGAGTACACTGATCTGGGGAAAGAGCAGACGCCGCAAGAGGATGGGTGCTGGGAGGTTGAGCAGGACAGCCCTCACCAGAATGGCAGTTCCCACTTTGGCCATGGCTGAGGGGGTAAGGATGGTGGCATAGTGCAGAGGGTCCCGGATGGCAATAAAGCGGTCAAAGGCCATGGCTAGCAGTACGCCAGATTCCACGTAGGTGAAGGCATGGATGAAGAACATCTGTGCTGCGCAGAGATCAAAGGGCAGCTCACGAGCTCCCAGCCAGAAGAGCTGCACCATGGTGGGGAAAGTGGAGGCACAGAGACCTAGATCAGAGGCTGCCAGAATGGACAGGAAGATGTACATGGGCTCATGTAAGGCTGGGTCTGTGCGGATCAGGAAGAGAATGATACTGTTACCCAGGATGGAAACCACACAGATGAGGTTGATGGGGATGGAAACCCAATGATGAGAGGCTTCCAGGCCTGGGAAGCCAGTGAGCAGGAAAGTAGAGTGACCAGAGGTGCTGGTGTTGCAGGAGGACATAGTGATTCCAGGAGGCAGTTGTCCACCCTAGGAGTAAGAGGCATTTGTTCATTTGATCATTACTTATAAATTCCCTACTAAGCGTGGGCTGGGAAGAAAGAGCCACCCCATCACACTTTCTTAGGCCATGAAATAAACCCATTCCTCTTAGGAGCTCCATTCCCCTCCACTTCACTGGTTACTTAAAGCTTGCCTATTTTCTTCTGATCCTACCTTCAAAACAGTCCCGTGGTTGTGGACTCAATTAGAAAAACTTTCCTCTAAAATATCTCTTCTTCAGCCAACTTACTATAAAAGAGCCAAGCACTTTGAAGTTCTCCCCAGCTGCGGGCAGAAGGCAGTGGCTGACAGGTCTTGAGGGGCATAACCTGAAGAGCCAGGCAGAGCAGGATGAGCTTCCGGAACCCCAGGGTTAAGAAATGCTATACCAAGGAGCCCAGAGTGTGTGTGTAAGCTCATCTGTTTTCATACCCTCACCATAGCATTTTAAGCTACACCTTTACATCATATCCTTTTAAGCTACACGTTCGCCCCCAAACTTCTCTCCTCAGGATAGGACTCATCTCCATCTGTCTACCAAGCACGTCACACTGGTTTGCATTGTAGATTGAATGTTCTGCAGAACCACAAGCTCTAAATTCTCCACTCTCTCCACAAAGCTTACTAACCAGTATTTGTTGGTGAGTGCCTCCCTTTCTTTCCTGTTATCCATGAAATACCTAGGGAAAGAATAAAATGTTGTATGTCCTTTCACTTTGTAACATAGTCTCCAAATCTATCTTTAAACTCTCCTCTCCTTTCAGATCCCAATAAAACTAATCTAACTGAATCATCATTTCCCTGCATATTATAACAGCCTCACTGTCCCACTTTTCTTCTTTCTGAATTCTGATTCCTCTTCCAATTCCATTAGAATTATAATCTAAATGTTTATGAAAACACAAATATGAACACTTAAATTAATGTATGTGTAGAGAAAAAATTGTGATCAAATCTCTATTAGGAAGATATTTTCTATCACAACTGTGTTTCGTGATCATCAATGGTTCCCTGATACCTGCAGGATCAGGTCTAAGCAAGATCTATATACTGAATCCAGAAGAGGAAAGATCTTGTCCATCCTACATCCCTAGTCATTTCAATCACCTCTAGGTATTGTAAACTTTTAGGACATTTTTCTATTCACCAAATTTACCATATTTTATCATTTTAAAAATTTTATTAAAATATATACACAGAAAGGTATGCATATCATAAATGTAAATCTTGATGAATTTTCACAAAGTGAAAAACCACACCCATGTAATAAACACCCAGATCAAGAACCAGAATATTGTCAGCACCCCCAAAACACCCTGTGAACTTTCCTAGACATTCCATCTCTTAGTGATAGCCACTATCCTGATGTCTACCACAGATGAATTTTGCCTAGTTTTGAAATTTATATAATTAGAATCATATAGTATGTATTTGTTTATATCGTTCACTCAACTTTACATCTGTGAGATTCATCCATATTGCTTGATGCAGTTGTATAGTGTTCATTCTCATTGCTGCACAATTTTCCTTGTGTGAATAGACTACAATATATTCATCCATTCTATTATTGATAGACATTGGGATAATTTCAAGGGTGGAGCTATTATAAATAGTGCTGCCATAAACACTCTAATACAATTCTTTTGTGAATGCATGCATGCATTTATGTTTGGTGTATACCTACGAGAGGAATTATGTCACAGGCTAGGCATAGAGTCAGCTTTCCTAGATTCTTCCAAACAGTTTTTGAAAGTTATTGTACCAATTTACACCCACACCAACACTGCAGGAGAGTTCAATTGTTCCACGTGTTCATCAATGCTTTGCTGTTGGCATTTTTAATTATAGTTATTCTGGGAGTGTGTAGTGGTATTGCTTTGTTGTTGTAAGCATATTTCTCTGATTTCTAAAAAAGTGAGCACCTTATATATTTTCTGGCTATTTGAATATCTCCTTTTGTGAAATTCTTAAGTCTTTTACTCAATTTTCTATTGGGATTCCTGAATTTTTCATGTTGTTTTGTATGAGTTCTTTAGATTGATTACCTACTGTGCGTTTTTATATTTTTAAGTGGTTGAGCCATTTTCTAATTGCAATTCTTATGACACTTATTTATTCTTGACAGGCTTCTATTTCCTGGGTCTGTTTTCAATATCTTCACACATGAACCAATATCTTCACACATAGTCAGATGCCTCACACAATACCTAAAACACTGCACATTCTTCACAATGTTAGTTAACTATGCTTTCCTATTCAGTAAATATTTATGACTCCTTTAAGCCACTCCTTTATAATAAAAACTGAGAAAGATAAGTCCTTGGATAATATCAAATTTCCACCATTCCTTCTTTTGCCTCTGTTCGTCTACGTGTCTCTTTAGTGAACTGAGATAAAACTGCGGAAAGGTTCATAAGAGGAGTCATTTCCCTTGTCTGAATCCTCTCAGCAGTGTCCGCAGGTTGAGTTCTGCACATGCTGCCTTCATCAACAAGTCACACCACAGTCTATTTATAATGCATCTGAGCAATGGTCAGGGTCAGGGCCATGCTGCACAACTGCAGGGGGCGCCATACACATTCTAGTCTGTGTGAATGGCCCTCCTGGAGTTGTGGCTCTCAGCCTGTGCTGTCATAGAGGATGGCCCTGACCATGAGCCAGAAACTACATTGCTGACTCCCCCACACACACTGGTGGGAACATGGATATCAGACCCTGACAATGGTGGGAGAGAGCATGGAGTATGAAGGTGCACTGGGAGAAGAGATCAAGGGAGGCTACTCAGTTCAAGGAGGAAACACTTGTGTCCTGAACCAGAAAATGTTTGTCTTCCTTATCACTGTAAACCTAATCCTCTTCTGGATTCAGTATGAAGATCTTGCTTAGACCTGATCCTGCAGGTATCAGGGAACCACTGGTGATCATGAAACACAGTTGTGATAGAAATATTTCCTAATAGAGATTTGATCACAATTTTTTCTCTACACATATACTAATTTAAGTGTCCATACTTGTATTTTCATAAATAGTGCCCAGGATAGTGCCACATAGGTTTGTAACAACCTTCTGTCCACAGCAGGCCAGAGCGAAAATTACATGTCCACCATGCCAGCTGAAGAAGAGTCAGAGAGCCACCTTCCCGGGCACATGCTGACTTGGATGCCCCATCTCCCTGTGCTTCCTAGGATCCATACATCACTGTGGTAGCGTCAAAGCTACCTGGATTGTCCCATTTTTTTTTCCTTTTTGACATGTTTCTTGCTTTCTGATACTTCTTCACAGTCCTAAGTTTATTAAATAATAGTAAGAATCAGAAAGTAACATGCCTGTCTTTTATACATGCACTTTACATGCATTACTTAATTTTCTAGCCCTGTGGGATATTTTTCCATTTTCTGATGAGAAAATCATGGCTCGGGAAGTCTAAGTAACTTTCCCAAGGTCATGAAGCTAGGTGGTAGAGCCAGGACTTAAATCCAAGTTGGCCTAAAGAGAAAGCCTATTTGCTTAATTCCTTCATATAAAGAAAGAACAATTCTGACTCTGGACACTTCAGCTGTTATCAGATTTTTTGTCCACAGGATAATTGAAAGGCAAAGTTTTTATTGTCCCATCTTTTTAACTCCATTTCCCTTTACAGCAGAGGTTTGAGATGGGAATAAGGTCACCCACAAAGAGAAGCAGACTTCAGAACAATCCAACCAGGCTTCCCTGCCTCCCATCACTCCCAGTTTTTCCAACCTTCCCACACAGGTTGTGGCCCATCTTCTGGATGCAGGGCCAAAGTTATCCCTGACATCCCAACTGTACCCAAGATCCAAGAATCCAGCAGTGTCTGACACAAGGAGGGCTGCATCCTCCTCCTCCTGCTCCAATGCTGTGTGGGTGACAAAGGAGTTCACCAAAAAGCTGTGTCCTTGTCATGTAAAAAAAAAAAAAAGACAATGACTCTAACCTCACAGAGTGGTTATGAACATGGGAAAGACTACAATTTGTCACAGGCATTTATTAAAATGTAAAGATAACCAGACACCGCCCTAGGGTTTCACAGCTAGTGTCTCTTGAAGTCTCCCTTCTTTCAAAGGCTGTATATGGCATTATTCCTTTTCTAGAGAAGAGGAAATAGAGTCTGAGAGTTGAGCAAACCTGCCAATGACCACATTAAGAGTAAGCAGAGGGACCAGCTTCAAGTGCATGTTACTTGACTTCAAAGATCATGCATCTGTCTGTTCCTCAGCATTTTCATCTCTAAATTTTTTTTAAATATTTTTCTCTTGATATAAGTACTGTGTTATGCTTCTTCTTTCTGTTATGATCATTATTAGCATGTTATTGCTGAAAATATCCATCTGCAAAGATGAAACAGGATGGCATACTCATGGGACCCCCTCAAATACCACCCTTGCCTCCTTCCTGACCGCTTACATGCATCAACCCTTGAGAGTCTCCATGGAAAAGTCCTAAGACCAAAGGGGCTGTGTGCTTATTGACTGTCCCTGTGTTACGTACTGTGTGAGTTTAATTACAGGCTCATAGCTTAGGAAGAAAAATTTTCTTCTTCAAGCAGTAATCTCCTGAGTAATGGAGAAACATGATAAAACTATATGTGGAAAAAATAAAGATGGTAGTAGAAAGATGGAGACAGATGATAAATGATGGATAGATAGGTAGGTGGGCTGAGAGGGAGTCAATGCAAACAAGACCCTCTGGAAGAGGTGGAATAAAATTAAACTACAGTCTCTGCCCTTCTACCCTCTTACTCATCCAGGTTCTAGAAGACAACGAATAGTACAAAGACTGTTTCTTTCTCTAATCAAGGAAGTCTATCTTCAAAAGCCAATCTGTGAGTCACGGAAAGGAGATGGCTCAGCTTAGAGAAGGTTGGAGACTCCTCCACCAAGGTTTCTGTGGCAACAAGGCATCAGTCTTTAGCACTCCAGGGAATGTGAGGTGTTAAGCCT